TACCAAATCCCTTGCAATCACTTTATTAGTCTTCCTTTCAAATTTTAGAACAATCGGCTAAAATGGAGACCAGAAAACTCAAGATAGCTGAGAATAGGTCAGACGAAATCCACCACCAATGCAAACCGAATTTCACTATGTGATTCTCTTCGGGTTTCGGCGTAATTTGCAGCCGATATCTGAAAGTCAAATTGAATACGGAACAATTGCGCTGTCCTTAAAGACTATTTTTAAGTGCTTCCGAAGATATCAGATAGGACATTTTTCCATAGAGGATGAGCCCTGAGAAGGTCGACCAAAATCTTTCACTGTTATCGTCACTGTAGGTCTGGTGAAGTCCAAAACTGACGAAGACCAACGACTATAGATTGGATATCAGCTTGTGATTTCTGGTTATTTGAAAAACTTAAAAAAAATTTTTAATTACAACGAGTAGATAATTAATGCGGTTAATGCTGAACTTGTTAAGCTTAAAAGAAAGACTGCTTCTAGATGTGGATCTATAGGCTTGAGAAATGCATTGAAATCAAAATCGATTATGTAGAGATGATTACGAATAAATACAAAAAGAATTTTTTCTTGGTCCACTCACCGAACTTTGTTAGTTGGATCAATTATTATTTTTCATATGCAGAGTCCCTTAATCGAATGCACTTTGGCCATTTGTATGGAGGGGTGAAAGGAATATCTCTGGTTGTAATGCTCCTGGAAGTGCTGTTTAGAAGGAGTTGAGATTTAGTACTTTTTGTATCGATCGATTATAAGATCTGCTTAGTGGGCCGACCAAAACCATGGAAATTACGCATAGAGCCGAAAGTTTTATTTAGGATATTCCTACATCTTATTACCACTGTAAAGCTGATGGGATTAAAAATAAAAAACTTAATGGTATCTTGGCTGTCAGAAAATGTTTTCGCAATTTTTTTTCGCAAAATTTAGCATAGAACCCTTGGTCTAAGGTCTAATTGATGAATGAGCTGTAGCCTTGTAAATAATTCGAAGGAATTCAGCTTAAGTCAATGGACTAAAAGTTGTATTGCAGAAGACGAGCATTTTTAACCAAGAAAAACTACGAAAACCCAATGCATCCCGAATGATACTCTACGGTTAAAGAAGAGAGAGAGAGAGAGAGAGAGAGAGATAGAGAGAGAGAGAGAGCGAGAGAGAGAAAGCGAGAGAGAAAGTGAGAGAGAGAGGGATTGAAAGAGAGGTATTTAAAGAGAGATAGAGTGAGAGAGAGAGAGAGATTAAGAAAGAGAGTGAGAGAGAGAGCGAGAAAGGAATAGAGCGAGAGAGAGAGCTCGAAAATCTGATCGAATCTCATAAAACAGCAGTGTCAACTTGTCGCCTTTTAGCTGTATTATTTTAACCCCATTGGATACTTTTGCTTTTGCGTGGCGCCAATATGGATAAGTCCTAAGCTAGTTATGAACAGGCGATCCATGACTTGAAACATGAAGCCACGAAGGCTTCAAAAAGGTCAAACAGTCGAGAATGTGGGGAATGAGTGAACCGACACACTGCATTAATTGGTTTGTGTTACTGGAAGGACAGCGGTAATAGCTATACGAGTTCGATTCAAACTGCCTGCGCTGATTATTATTTAGCACTTCTTTTCTGCTTAGTTGGTAGTATTGTTCTTACTGATTATACCAAATATGAGCGCGGTCTGTCAGCCTATATAAGCCTGCCTCGTAAAGCTCAAATATTTTTTTTATTGACTGTCTGTCTCGTTGGAATGGGTTCATGGAGAAAAAGCATTTCCGGACACTATCTGATCTTTATGTATGATTGAAGTGGTGTTCCAACAAATAGATGGAGCTCCTTCCTCTATTTCTGATAAGGACACTATAATTCCAGAAATCTACAACATTGACATGGTGTAGTCCAAGAACACGTAGGAAGTCCAAAAATCAAGATGTGAAGCGGGTAAAACTCGAAAACTTGTACGAATACTCTCGACCGATTTTCGACTGCAACTGAATATTAGAATAATTTTGAAAGGCCTTCGTTGTAAGAGATCTCGTTTAAGCAATTGGTGCAAGAGCTTATTAAGCACATCTCTCGGGCATAACCAATGAAGACCCGATTAACCCGGCTGCTTTTTTGTATTCCAATAAAATTCGAATTCGAATGCTGAGTTTGAGGTGCTGTGATTCTATTTGTGAATATCAACACGTCTCTCCTCCATCTTTCTAGGAACACCCAGTCTATTTTTCATGGCACATGAAAGTGTTGTGCGCAAAGCACTTGTCATAATCTAATTGTTGATAGAAGGAAACAGGTCTGATACTATCGATACCGTGAATTTCGAGTAGCATTTCATTCAGCTCCATTTTTTAGGCTGCGAGTTCTTTGATTTTTCAATTTAAGTAAACATTCAGTACTAATTCCACTCAGTGCTACATACAAACATCTACTCTATAAATACCAAAAAAATATTTCAATAAAATCATATCAGTACTAGAAACATTTTAAACGAAATATTGCAGGTAAAGTAGAAATATTGAATAACCACTTATTAAGACACAGAAAATGACGTCAAGCCGCTGTACCCAAATGACGTACTGTAATCAGAAACAGTAAACAGGTACTCTTGAAACAATTTCAAAAATTTTTTGAACATAATTGACATGGGAAAACCACGAAAATAAGCAATGACGATGCCCACTTAAAACGATTGTTCGCTCAATGAATTTTAGCGATTTGAAGTGTGCCAAATTGTGATAACCTATTTGAGGTTACATAAATAAAGAGAGCTAGACGATCACATGGTTGATGACATACTCGGACAAAAGTACGGCAATGCATCTACAATACATCTGCGAGGTGTTAACAAATAATATTGGGTGTAGTAATTGGTATCTCGTACTAATGGGCGACTTTTTTAGGAGAATATTTTTCAAAAAAAACGCATAAAATTCAGAAAAATGCATGCAATCTTTATTTGAGCCGATAGTACGGTCCATAGAATTGAAGGTTTGAAGATTTTTCATACAAATGTTGACATTGACTGCGCCCCAAATGGTCCATCCGCTCCAACTTTGGCATACTCTTTCCAGCATTTCGGCGGGTATCTCACGAATAAACGCTTCAATGTTGTCCTCCAATGCGTCAATTGAAGCGGGCTTGTCTAGATGGACATTAGCTTCAACATAGTCCCACAAAAAATAGTCTAAAGGCGTTAAATTGCACGATCTAGGCGGCCGATTGACCGGTCCCGAACGTGAAATAAAATGTTCACCGAACTCGCCTCTCAACAAGTCCATTGTGGCATGTGGCACCGTCTTGTTGAAACCACATATAGGGGAAGACAAGCTCTTGAATCCCACGGTAGCGCTCACCATTCTTATTTAAGTTGCGATTCGCATAATCTTTGAAGAAGTACGGTCCAATGATGGTGGGAATGTGACGATTCATGATTAAATTATGGACCAAACTGAAGATGTTTGACAGTGAAACAAAACACGAAGCGTGCGTGAGCTGTGTAAACCAGTGTTGCCAAAAAAATAATAGCGCGATTTAATTTGGCACCCCTAAGTTAATTAAAAAACCCTGATGAATCGTAGCTCCTTTCGCGAATCATATCAAAATCAACTCATTTCTGAAGCGGATTGTGAGTCGCAACGTCAAATGAAATCAGTCATGGCTGAAGGGTAGTGAGCCGGCACAAACAGTCTCCATGTCAAGATTGATGGTCAGGAAGGTTTTGTGTATTCGTGTGATCAGCAAGGAATCATTCTTTATGAGCTGTTCCACTGTAACTTACTTAAGAAGTGTATGTATTCACAATCTGTATCCACTTTGACAGAAATTCTTCGAATAAGGGCTGTAAGAAGTCCATTGACGATGTCTTATTTGGGTCTGCAGACCACGAAAAATTTGAATTTGCGTTTTAAAATTGTTATACAAAAGACCAATATATTTCGCGGATGTTGCCTTTATTGAAATGCCTCACAAATCAGGTTAATATAAAAGACCATTTCATTCATTCATGATTACCATAGCCGACCTTGCAGTATCCCAAATGTGTCTGCCTTTAGCTCCAATGGCGGCTTCAATTTCATGTTTCAAGCCATGAATCGTCTCAGCATAGTTGAGGTAAGACCAATCCTTAAAGATCCTCCACAGAAATATAGACACTCACAGCAACGAGGCCTCCAGTTGATAGTGAATTTCGAATGCCCTGCACAAAGGATCGATTGAAAAGTTGACTGTGTGGCCCTCTTGAATCCACACATTGCACATGTTTCTTCTTTCAACAAAAAAGTAAAAACGATCCACATAGAAAGTAACGGTAACTCCCGCCGTAGTTTCGGAAAAGAACGAATCAATGATGCTATCTTTTGGTTTTCCTCTACCCAAATGCCACAGTTTTTCTTGTTCATGGTGGTTTCGAGGTGAAGATGAGCTAACACGGTAAAGACGATTTTTCGCTAAAAAAAAACACCCATCCACAGATTTATATTAAGCTATTAACTAGATTTTATTAATCTTCATAATGAGGTCTTTAGGCATTCTCCTGAGTAATTTGCCTGCGGCTAATATTCAAAACTCACCATATGGGAAGTAAATCTTCGATATTTCCTAACTTTCTTCAAGCTTAAACTTAACCCTTTCGTCTACAGCGACATTGGCATAGTTCTGCAAATTAAGAGACGGCAGCTATGTACCTGTAGACGAAAACACTGCAGACCATAGCCAAATTGGTTTTGCGCAGTTAACAAATAATGCATATATTCTGTGGGCCACCACTTGAATGCACGATGCATACTCATGGAACCGTCATAATTGGCAAAAAAAAAATTGCGCTTTATTCGTTAATGTGAAATGCCTATTGATTATCTTCTCAAGACCGATACCAACTTACTGAAATTGATCAAGTGAAGTCGCTCAGCGCAATCCAACGAATATACGCGACTAATTAATTTCGGCTCCTAAGTACGTACTCTACTGATAACACTCAAGCATTGCGATGGGATTCTACTATTTTAGTATATAAGCCCCAGCACGGAAGATTTACGGCATAGTTGTATACCTTCGTTTGGTGCTATACAACGTTTAAGAAATTACACTAAAAGTAAGAAAAAAAGTCTAAAACTTTCAAAATATAAAATTACTTAACAAACTTCGTTGAAACTTTGAGTTGACTTTAAATATTTCATTTTTATTCTCTTCCCAACAGCAAAATGTTCAAGTTCTTCGTCTTCTTCACCATTTGCGCCGCCCTGGCTTCGGCCAATATGGTGCGTGTGCCCATCTACAAGAACCCCAACTACCGTAGGACCGCCTCATCGCTCAAGACCGAGCTCGCATACTTGCGCTCCAAGTACCACGTGCCCAGTACACGTACCACTGAGCAATTGGACAATTATTTGAACTTAGAATACTATGGCAAGATCACCATCGGTACACCACCTCAAGATTTCTTGGTGCTCTTCGATTCTGGTTCCTCCAACTTGTGGGTCCCATCAGCCACCTGCCCCACTAGCAACGAAGCTTGTCAACTACACAACAAATACAACTCCAGCGCTTCCAGCACTTATGTAGCCAACGGCGAGGCTTTCTCCATCGAATACGGCTCTGGCAGTTTGTCTGGTTTCTTGTCTCAGGATACCGTACGTGTAGCTGGTCTCACCATTAGCAACCAAGTTTTCGCTGAAGCTATGCTAGAACCTGGCACCAGTTTTGTCTACTCAAACTTTGACGGTCTTATGGGTATGGCTTTCCAACAAATCTCCAATGACGATGTAGTGCCACCATTCTACAACATGTGGACTCAAGGTTTGATCAGCAAGAACTTGTTCTCATTCTACTTGGCACGTGCCGGTACCTCCGACCAAGGTGGTGAAATGATCTTGGGTGGTTCCGATTCCAGCTACTATCAAGGTCAGCTTACCTATACTCCAATCACAGAGCAAGGTTACTGGCAATTCAGCTTGGATGGCGCTACCATCGGTGGTCAGACTATGTGCGGTGATGGTTGCCAAGCTATCGCTGATACCGGCACCTCACTCATCGTTGCTCCATACTACGCTTACATTACCTACATGAGCGTTGTCGATCCCGATGGTGATGAGCTCGTCGATTGCTCACTCATCAGCAGCTTGCCCGATATGGAATTCGTCATTGGCGGTACCACCTTCTCCGTGCCAGCATCCCAATACATTCTCAACTCTGAGGGTCAATGCTCACCTGCCGTCAGCTACATGGGTACCGACTTCTGGATCTTGGGTGATATCTTCATTGGTCTTTACTACACTGAATTCGATATGGGTAACAACCGTATTGGCTTTGCTCCAGTCGCCTAAGCGGGAAGGGCTTTGCATTTTGAGATTTCGGAAAACGAATTTAAATAAACTTGTTTAACATGATTTACGTGTTTTTCTGTGATTTACATTTAACTAATTTCAAAAGAGGTAAGGTTTTAGGTAAGGTTAAAGAGTCGAATAATTTTGTGGTGTAACATGTCGGTATATTGAAACACTTTTCCATGAACCAACGACAAACTTCGACATTTTTTTTTCTCAATTGGGTCACCGATTTCCTCCCGAATCACTTTCCTGATCACGGGATCAGCATCAGCACCAGCAGCACCTCTAAAAGGTTTCAAAGTTTCAATGCAGCATATGCTAGTGATGGCAAAAGAGAAGGGTGAGTTCAGTCCTCTTGGAGAATATTGGGCTTTCAATGTATTCCAAATCATTTCTTCAGGCTATCGCCTGTGTAACAGCGACGGTAAGAAAGTTTAAGCCCTCCGATTGTATATCTGAGCTCATAACAATTTATTCACCGTTAATGAAGCCTTACTGATTGGATTTTGCTCCGGACTATTAAATGACCAAAACTCACATCATTCTAGTAGGCAAGAAGCTTGACAAGTCAATGACAAATCAGAGCGTTAGTTGAAACAGAATAATTGTCGTTTTCTTCTGGCAATATCGGTCAAAAACTGATGGAGCTTGGGTGGGAAGTTTGAACGCACTCGCCTTATTTCCTAGACCTTCTACCATCTGCCGAGCATTAATTTTTGTCGTTGCAGAATCCTCAAAGAGCCATTTAAAATCATTTCTTTGCCAGGAGTCCATAGAACTTTTACACTGCAAAAATTCTGAAACAACCCGGAAATTTCAACTATAAATTCAATTCAAAAGTCATAAATATAAATATATACTGGATCGAAAGTTTAATTTCAGTAACGAATCATCTTGTTAAAAAAATATAAAATATGCAACGATTAATTCTTCGAAACATACGGCGACGAAGATACGCTATCGAGACCATCGTCCGGATGAGTGTTTAAGTCAACCATTGACCAGATATTCATCATGCGACAAATATTGGAAAAGACTCGCGAAAAGAGGATCGACACCCACCACCTTTTCGTCGATTTAGACAGCAAGCAAAGGAGTTGCCTTTACGCCGCTATGTCTGAATTTGGTATCCCCGAAAAACTTATACGGCTGTATAAGCTGACGCTAGACAACACCAGAAGCGCAGTCAGAATTTGGAAGGACCACTTCGTGCCGTTCGATACCAAACGAGGTTTCAGACAGGCTGCCTCTTTGTCGTTTAATTTCTTCAATGTGATGCTGGAGAGAATAATAAGAGCCCCAGAGCTGAATAGAGAAGGTACAACCTTATATAAGAGTGTAGAACTACTGGGGTACGCTGATGATATTGACATTATCGGTCTCAACTTCCGCGCCGTTAGTACTGCTTTTCCCAGTTTTGATAAAGCGAGGTGAATGGGTCTGATAGTGAAAGAGGACAAGACGATATATTTCCTGTTATCAAACAAACAGTCATCGTTTTCGGGACTTAGCTCCCACGTCCCTGTTGACAGTCGTAACCTTGAAGTCGCATAATTCACACCAACAGCAATGTCAGTCAGGAAATCCAGATTAAAAATTCAACTCGTCCGATGCAAAGGCAAGAACTTAACGACTTTTATCTTTGACCTACCATAATATTTCTGATTTGTGTCTATACCAGATGGAACAGAAAGGAACGTGGTGAGGCTGACCGACTTTGCTTGAAATAATTGAAAACAACAACTGCGTGTAGATTTTTTCTGAAATTTAAACGAAAGACTTATTGGTTCATTATCTTCAAACATTCATAATCAACGAATTTATACCAATTTTTTTGATGCGCATTAAAACTGTAATTTTTCAAAGAATATCCAACAATATTATATATTATATATACAATTTTAATATATTCCAGAAACGTCTCTAATATTTTCTATTCAATTCCATGAATACTAAGCCCGAGCAGCTACTGTTCTTATTTTCGAAATTCATTGCTCTGTTGCCAATTTTCTCCACATTTCCCATAATCGTGTTATCTTTTTTAAGCGCACGAAGCCACCACAACATACGGCACTTACGTTGTTTGTTATTGCGTATAACAGCAATTGAAACATTCTAAAAAAGCAAAAAAGTGTGGTCATTGTCAATCTCAGAAAGCGATTAGGAGTGTCTAATTAATTTCGGCAGATAAGTCATACGAAAGTATTTTGATAAGAAGCAGCTGAGTTGGTGTAACCGTTAAAATTCAGCTATAAAAGGGCAGACTGGCTGTGATTATGGCACAGTTGTATACCTTCGTTTGGTGTTATACAACATTTAAGAAATTACACTAAAAGTAAGAAAAAAAGTCTAAAACTTTCAAAATATAAAATTATTGAAGAAACTTCGTTAAAACTTTGAGTTGACTTTAAATATTTCATTTTTATTCTCTTCCCAACAGCAAAATGTTCAAGTTCTTCGTCTTCTTCACCATTTGCGCCGCCCTGGCTTCGGCCAATATGGTGCGTGTGCCCATCTACAAGAACCCCAACTACCGTAGGACCGCCTCATCGCTCAAGACCGAGCTCGCATACTTGCGCTCCAAGTACCACGTGCCCGGTGTACGTGCCACCGAGCAATTGGACAATGAATTGAATATGTCTTACTATGGCAAGATCACCATCGGTACACCACCTCAAGATTTCTTGGTGCTCTTCGATTCTGGTTCCTCCAACTTGTGGGTCCCATCAGCCACCTGCCCCACTAGCAACGAAGCTTGTCAACTACACAACAAATACAACTCCAGCGCTTCCAGCACTTATGTAGCCAACGGCGAGGCTTTCTCCATCGAATACGGCTCTGGCAGTTTGTCTGGTTTCTTGTCTCAGGATACCGTACGTGTAGCTGGTCTCACCATTAGCAACCAAGTTTTCGCTGAAGCTATGCTAGAACCTGGCACCAGTTTTGTCTACTCAAACTTTGACGGTCTTATGGGTATGGCTTTCCAACAAATCTCCAATGACGATGTAGTGCCACCATTCTACAACATGTGGACTCAGGGTTTGATCAGCCAGAACTTGTTCTCATTCTACTTGGCTCGTGCCGGTACCTCCGACCAAGGTGGTGAAATGATCTTGGGTGGTTCCGATTCCAGCTATTATCAAGGTCAGCTTACCTATACTCCAATCACAGAGCAAGGTTACTGGCAATTCAGCTTGGATGGCGCTACTATCGGTGGTCAGACTATGTGCGGTGATGGTTGCCAAGCTATTGCTGATACCGGCACCTCACTCATCGTTGCTCCATACTACGCTTACATTGCCTACATGAGCGTTGTCGATCCCGATGGTGATGAGCTCGTCGATTGCTCACTCATCAGCAGCTTGCCCGATATGGAATTCGTCATTGGCGGTACCACCTTCTCCGTGCCAGCTTCCCAATACATTCTCAACTCTGAGGGTCAATGCTCACCTGCCGTCAGCTACATGGGTACCGACTTCTGGATCTTGGGTGATATCTTCATTGGTCTTTACTACACTGAATTCGATATGGGTAACAACCGTATTGGCTTTGCTCCAGTCGCCTAAGCGGGAGAGACTTTGAGTTTACGATAAAGGAAACTGAGTTTGTATTAAGTTCATTTTTTGTTTAATTTGATTAATAAATTTGGCTTTCACTGAAATAACACCACGTATTGAAATCTTTTAAAGAAGGGGTTTTCACTACTAATGGGCATAAAGACCTCTATCTATAGCACACAGGATTAGATGAAGAGATCACTTACCGCTTCGGTTGCTTTACTGAGCTGGAAAAGTGATGAAAAACGCAGTGTTTAAGTGTCTATACAGTCAGCTAAAGTCTCCCATGCTTATCTAACTTCCCGTGGCTTTGATTTTAAACTTTTAACTCGCCTTGTCTTCTTACTACTGTCGTGTCTTCAGCACTATTTGTGATTTCAGTCAGTGTCAAATTTAATTTACCACAAAATTGCTATGAAAACTTTATTAAAACAGTTTATTTGCATATAATTTTATAATACACCTGTCCTTGGGTGATGAGCTTTTAGCTACGCTTTAACGCCGATCATTTTATGTTGATTGCTGACAATTATACCAAATAAGTATGGAGTGAATATTCCAATTAATTTTCCAATCACCCAGTGAGAAATGCCATTTCCAGTGCACTGACCTTCTAACCGCCCCTTTGAATCACTTAAGCCAATGTTAGTGACTGAGACATCGATATATGAAATCATAATTTCATCTTCATACAAATTAGAAAAAAAAATAATAATAAATTAAATTTTCTAATTGCGATCGCCCCTTGCCAGGGAATGTCAACCCCTTCGAGCGCATTTTGCACATGAAAAAAAGTATAAACTGCAGGTCGTTCCATATGTTGGGAATACATCAATACGCTTAAAACAAAATGAAGGTCGTGCTCGGCTGAAAATCGCTTCAGCGGTTACAAAGCGCTAATTACATATATATATAAATTCTAAATCCCGCAATTAGCTACTAAGACTAATGAAATAGATTAAAATATTTTCCTCTGGCAGAGTCACATGAAGCTTTGTTAAATTGTACTTAGTCAAAATTTATTCAGAGCTTTTAAGCTTTCAAGCCTAAGTTTTTCCTAGCGGATACATCACACACGCTACATTCATTGTTGGTGTTTAAATTTTAGTAAATTCGTATATTTATTAAGCACTTTAATTTGACATTAGCGAAGGCATTAAAGCGATTTTGGGTAATGAAGCACAATGTCATTACGGCCATTGGCAGAAATTTACTTTTTTTTATTTCTGTATAGAAACATTGTTGGAAAATAATTGTTTCATAAAATTTCCTTTAAGATGTATTACGGTAACCGAGCACAAGGCTTTATTTACCATTGTTAGAAATATAAGATTTATGTCTCAAAGAAACCCTTGTTCCTTTTAGCTCAAAATTGAGGCTAACCCTTCACTAGCCAAATCATTCCCCAAAGACAGGAACGGCTGGTATTAATCTCGCAAGAACTCTGGACTATCGGGTGGATACATAAGAACCTGTGCACCTCTGGGCAATTGCTTCCTCCGA